CCCCAAAACCCCAAAACCCCAAAACCCCAAAACCCCAGCTAACACATCTCTTATTAAATAATATTAATTCCCAGTCAATGTTCAAATCATTACTTGGCTGCTGCAGTAGTCGTGACCCGGCAACTAGGCCCAATACTGAGCCTGTGCCTGATGATAAGACAGAGAAGAGTCTGACAGTAAGTTCTGCTCATCAAAAAAATTGGGCCCTTGGGATTTACCAAGGGGAAATTTTGGGATTTGAACGGCAAGATGGTGAGCATTTAGATAGGATAAAAGGCTAAAGGAGATTAGTTGAGGTTTAGGTATTTTTTACATTTTTTTGGGGTTTTTGGGTACATAAATGGGTATAGTACATCCAGCAAATCGATTCAATCAGTGATTTATTAAGACTAAAGAGATCAAATGGTCAGGTGAGCATAAATTTTATTAATTTCGGAGGCTCTAATGAAGTTTCAGAATTTTTACTCTCATTTTTTAATCTTATTTTAGATGACTTTTTCAAAACTTGTGAGGAAAATAGTTAATAATACCTATGACACTTGAATTTTCGAAGATGACTTACACGATCTCATCAGAGAGTTTGCAGTGGATGATGAGACTGGAGAAGTAGACCCAAAGTTAAAACATTTGCTGACATTCTTCAAGAGAGACTACTTCTACAAAGCTGAAGAAATTGCAAATGGGACATATGAACAACTTGATTCAATAAAAGTGAGACTATTTTTGTTCTTAGTAATCCGTGATGACAAGTCTACCAAAACAAAATGCTTTATTCAGACAATTATTAAAGAGATGAAGGAGGATACTGAATATTCTCTAAACACAAGGACCGCAAAATAACTTAGAGAGGTTCAGTGAATCTAGTAGCAAAGACGAGGTAGTTCAGATATTATTCCACCCGAGAGATCCAATAATGATCATGGTTTTATCCTTACTCTTTGCTGGTGCAATTCTTCCATTTGTTGATTATTACAACGAGGCTGAGTACGAAGGAGAAGATAAGGACTTTAAGCATTTCAAAAGACTGGCTACCACTAACAGGTATATTTTCCAGTCGTTTGCTAACCATTTTGCTGATAATTATCTATTTAAGAAGAATTCTAAGAAAAACAGTAAGTTTGGCATTCAAATTTTAGAACGAAAAACTGAATTTACAGTTAGAGAATTTGAAAATCTTTGACGGCAATCTTATGACTTACTGTTCAATTCTAAGGCAGTGAGGAAGATGTTCATAAAGTTTGCCAAAGAGAACAGAGACGAGTGCCTGATGAAGTCCAAAGAATCTCAAAGACAGAGATACAGAGAAGATGAACGATATGAGATTAAATAAAGGTATTTGTTGCTTCCATTAGTTTATGCGACATTTTTCTAGAATTTGGAAGAAAGGGTTCACCGACCAAAAACTTGTTCAGTCCAAAAGTTAGGGGTCCTGATCAGCAGACTGCTAAGCCACTCGACTTGGATCTACGGAAAAATTTTGGTACGGTTTTTAGGAAGAGAAGTGTTTACCATTTTTAGATAACGATCGCGAGGTTCCAGTTTTTAAAAATCCAGAGGAAGAAAAGTCGATTAGTGCGATCCCTTTAGGTAATATTTTTATTTTTAATTGTTAGAGAAGCATTCGTTCAAAGAAGAAGATATAACAGACTCGAGGATTAAATATGATGAAACAGGATCAACAATAAGAAAATCATTTTCTCCTTTTGACATGGACAAAAGCCAAGAGATCAGACTTGAAGATTTCGAAATTCAAAAAGAACTCGAAATAAAGTTTGGAACTAAGTTATTAAATCTACTACAAAATCATTTCGAGAATTACATTGTAAATGGTGAATATACTTGTACAAAGAAAGATTGTCAATTAGTTAAGGCTATGAAGACTAATTTTAAAGAGCATATGACAACAAGCGAGAACGACACTTTATCCAAAAACAGCTTCAACCACTCCTATAGATATTCTGTATTATTAAGCAATAAAGATGCTGATTCTAACAAGACAAATGTCGAAAAATACATTGAGAACATAAAAATCAAATTAAAGACCAAAGAGCTGCAAGAGTACTATTACGACAGTCAAAACTGTGAGAACGTCGTCAACAGCTACCTCCGACTGCTCGAAATGTACCATGAACTCCAAATCTTCAACCGCTTCCATCAAGACCCTTCCTATAAAGAAGCCAAGATCAAAATCTTAGAGACCAACTACCTTGACGAATTTATGGGAGAACTAGATACAGGGATCGTCTCCAACGCCATTGACGATGAACTCCAGGACTTTTTAGACATAAGATTCCTAATAATCCCTGCCAAGGTAAGATTTTGTGAACAAATTTTATAGATTAATGGAAGACTAGTGACTTACATCGTTGAAATAAGAGATCCGGATATTAAGGTTGATCTGTATTACATGCTTGAGGATTTGAAGGATACTGAAGCAGATGAGAGCAATGGTGATGATTTAGATACAAGTAAGGGTTTTGGAATGTATGGTTTAGAGTTCAGAGAGAAATGCAGTGAGGTCATAGTCGATCTCATAGCGAGGGCTTTTGAGGCTGTTGTTTATGACTTTAAATTTGATGATATTAAAGCTGATTCACATGAGTAAGCTTAATTATAGAACTTGCCTAATGTTCGATATAGGATAGCAAATTTATCAATAATGGTAAGGATAGAGACCTTCATGTTAGATAACGATTGGCAATTTATTTATATTCTCTTCGGAATATTATCAAGCGCCAAAATATGTTTCTCTAATTACTAATAGCCATACTCTACTGATTCTCACCTTAAAGTCTATTAGTGTAGAAGAAAACTAAATAGAACTTATTATTATTCAAAGAGCTACTTCACAATAACTTTATAGCTCCAAGAAATTGAGAACAGAGTATGAGGGATAATCGAGAACCAATTTACCATAACAGAAGATAAAATAAAGCACAAAGTGATAGACAGATTGGCTTCGCTTTTAGAAATCTAACAATAATTCAATAATTATCAGAAAGCACGGGGTTTTGGGGTTTTGGGGTTTTGGGGTTTTGGGG